AATAAAATATTAATTCCATTATACAGTTATGGAGTCTAAGATAATAATTAGTATAATGAAGAGATAATTTCGGAAAAAAATATTTAAAAATTTTACGGGAAAGTGACTGAAAATAGAGACGTAGTATTACTATTTGCCATATCAACAATAAGTTTTTGAGGGTAGATACCCTCCAATATGAAAAAAAAAATAGTTTTTCTGTCCTAAGGCCGAAGTGAACAATGGCCGCGCGGTGAACGCCGCTTAAATTCGAAAATAATGTAGATCTGTTTACCAAAAAGAAAAAAAAAATAATGTAGGTCTTGAGACTTCAGTTGGGTTCATATTTTAATCCAAAATTGTTGTATGATATTATTTAACATTTCATTTCATATTTTAACGGAACATAGAAAATTCAATCCTCTTGTCATCACGGCTAGCTAGCCAACTTGTTCGATTGATCATACTATTCCAAATCTTAATTAAAAACGTTTATGACTCATTATTTCAAAATGGCTCCCAATTTAACGGGTTATCACGTGTACTTTTACCATTTCAGATAACCTCACACCATGATTCTATTTCTACAAGATGTTAAATTTTTCCAATACTATGAAAAATGCTTCCTCTGTCATTAAAAAAAAAGTCCAAATTTAATTTTGAAATTTGTACTAAAAATATTACGAATTTGAAAACTCGATATAAATTTTTTTTTGAGACAAAGCTAGTACGATTTTGAAAACATGTAACATTATCACGAAAATTTCATCTAAATTTCAAAATGACATAGCTATGCATGCACAACAAAATGTTGTTGTTATTATTATTACTAGTGAGTAAATCGTGCAATGCACGGGGATTATGAAAAAAATATACGTTAAAAACTTGTTTTATAAGATAAAAGTTAATGGTTCGGTTTATAAATTTTTTTTAATAAAAAATTACTGTTAGTTAAAACTTTTGGACAAATAGGTTGACGAAAAATATCAAAATTCTGACACCCTCCTCGATCATAAACGATGAATTTCATGATATACTTTTCAACAATTACGATGTGAATTTTTGCACCGTGAATGAGATTGATGCTACAAATAAATTCCAAAAACCTATCACCTTAAAACTGTCCTCGGTCTTACGGGTGATACGAAAATTAACATTTAAATCTCCAAAATCAACGTGGAGATAGACATAATCTCGTGAATTTCCTCTAAATAACGATTGCAGACGACTCGAAAGTATTTGTGAAAATAAAAAATCATAAATAAGTGATTCTTCAATCCAGTGTAACAGTCAAAAAAAAAAAACTATGGCTAAGATTATTACCAAACTATTGTCGGTAATATTTTCTGGCATTATGTACAGGTACTCCACATCCATTGAGAGTGTTTGCATTGAACATAAATCTGTATTAAATAAAAAATATATGTACGAAAGCAACTCGTTGAATTAAAAAAAAATCTCTCGAAGGGACAGAAATTTTAAAGAAAAATAAAAAAGAGACATACTTGATTGTTATGAATTGTTTACTGTTATGGAGTTTAAATAGAACAATGTTTAATAAATCTCGTGTGTTATTTTAGGAAATGAATAATTAAGGATAATTTGGACTTTATTTGAACTTTCATTATCAGATTACTTATTTTAAAAGGTTGTTATAGAAAATTAAAATAAAATTATCTTCTACAGTTAAGATTCACTGTAATTACAGTTAAATCTATTTTTTTTTATTTTGAACTTAAGCGAGTTTCTAATTTCATGCCAAATAAGTTATTTTCATCATGTATTAATATATATATATATAGATTATTATTATTATTTGGTTCGATTCATTGAACAAATCCTAAAGGCGTTTATTTACAAAATGATAGGTCAAGTCAATTGTCAAGGGAAAATTGTTCGTATTATTTTTTTCTGCTACACAACAATGACTCCATCAATCATTTGGAGGCCAAAGATTCCTCCTTTCCGAGTATAGTTTGCGCCATTTTTGTTAATGCTAATATATAATGGCTGGCCTATAGATTTAGCAGGATCTCAATCTAATGTTCCCTCCGTCTCATAAAAATAGTCTAGTTTCAAAGTATACAATTTTTTTTTTTTTTTAATTTAGTCAATCCTTATAAGGTACTTCATTTTATGCTTCAAACTTCCAATTTTAGCCTGGACCGAAAATTAATTTCCATATTAATTATTAAAAAAAACACACACACAAAAAGCACAACCGTAAGTTTCCCAAGGACAAAGGAGCCGTCAGCGTTCAACATCATCATCAGTCATCAATTAGTTCATCTCCCATCAATTCGATTGTCATCGCCGCTGGACAATCCCCAATTTGGTTTGTCTCTGCTGCCGGTGCCGTTCGCCATTATACTCGGCGATTTGAAAACCCAACACCCGTCAAGAAACATCCCGGAGCTATACTTCTGAGAACGGATTTGGTGTTAACAAATCGAACCTTGTTTTTATATTCTCCATACTGCCTTTTCTAATTTTTTTTTACTCCATATCCAGGATGCAAGATTTTTATACTCCAACCCAAGCACTACTTCTGAGATAAATTCCCGTTTTCCATCTCCGTCTCCATATGTATTGTCCTCTGCTTGGTGAATGTGTGGGAGGAGACTTTTCGCGGCAGTGGTGATAGGACAGTTAAGTCATTTTACTTATTTTAATTTTGACTTTTTTGAAATTTGATTTTTTTTTTTTTGGACAATATTTTTTATTAAACTGAACTATTTTTGTGGAACGGAAGGATTATTATATAGACGGGAGAAAACTCATCAGTTCGGAGCCAACAATCAACACGTGAATTGTTCAATCTGTGTTCCGCAGAGGGCTTCTATCAATTTTTTCCCCCTTCAATCTCATTTTGATTTCATTGTCTATATACGATGTAATAGTATATTACGAATATATGGCATAACAGTCAATCAACATTTCCTTAGTTGTTATTTCCTATGTCTCAAGAAAATTGTTTACATCAAATTTTAAAATTTGTATTGAAAAATAGTTATACAAATCTCAAAAGTTGGTATAATCTTTCTTTGAGATCGGAGGAAGTATAAGTATTGAGTTTAACTATTTATTAAAAAATAATAATGGGTTTAGATGTCACAAGCTTTTATATGGAAGGAAACCTCAGGCCCAAATATCGCTAATACCACTACTTTGTCTTGGATGCAATCCAATTCATTAATTAAAGCTAATCTCCGGCCCAAAGGACTTTTAAAGTCTAACTTAGGCCTACAAGTGAAACCATAGTTTAAATAAACGTATTGTGATTAAGTTGTATGGATCTAGAAACTTGCTAATGTTATTACTCCTTTAGTTCAGTATAAGACATTTTAATTTATTTAAAAGTTTCATCTAACATATTGTATTTAAAAATAAAATCTTAAAGATATATTTTTACATTTATTATGTATTTCTAATTATTTTAAAAGTTTTATTTTTAATTAAAGAATATATTAGATAAAACTTAAAACAAATCAAAATTTTCTAAAGAATATATTAGATAAAACTTAAAACAAATCAAAATTTTCTAATAAGGACTATGGTGATTTTTTATTTTTATTTTTTTGTATATAATCTTAAAAAGGTGAAAACATAGGTAATATGCCTCGGAGGCTCCTATTGTGCCTTAATCCAAAACTAGATGCTTGCCCGCCCGGGTGCCGCCTGTACTTTTAAATCGATTAAATTAAAAATACGAATCATTATTAAAAGAATAAAAAAAATAGAAGAATAAAAAATCGATTGAAAGGACAGAAAGTGAGTTATTACACATAAATCTATGTTTAGATTTATAACATTTAATTTACAACAGTTAACTTATGCCTAGGTTTACATAAATCATAAACCAATATCTACAACAGAAGAATAAAAAAAAAATCATCCTTAAAATATCAAATTTCTTTCATGACAGCTTATTTTTTCTCTGTTGTAGAAAGAGATGAATTGATAATTGATGTCAGATTTTAAGTAATTGATTTAAAGGTGCGAGTGTGAGAGATGAGCGGAATGGAAGAGATTTTTTAAAATTAGGGATTGGGAAGACATTATTGTTGTTTCACTTGATTTAAGGAGATCTCCTTACATTTGATTTTATCAATTAAATATTATTATTTTAAGAGATTAATATATACCTATAATTAAGAGATTTTTATGTAATTATAATTAAGGGATTTATGTATTTATCTATTCCATCTTTTTTTCCTGATTAGTTAGAGTGCCACGTGTCAAAAATAATTTTGTACTGAAAATGGCTTTTGGCGGGAAAATTTTCATTGTGATGCTGACACATGTCCTTTTTGTTTGCTGCTTTAATTATGTACTATAGATATATGATATAATACATTTTGTTTTGGGGTGAATTTTAGTTTAATCTTTTATACTTATATGTAACAGAATTATTACACTATATAAGATAGTGTATCATCGAGGAAAAAAAACGTATCCTCGCCAACCATTTGCTTGTTTACCAAAGCCATAATGTCGTATGTACCCATCATATCCATGACCACACCAAGGTAAGGAACTAGTACCTGTACCATCATACTCTCTTCGATCCTTAATATAAAGTATTTTAATTTGTACAAGGTTTTACTTAATACTTATTTTTAATTTACAAAAAATCTTAAAAATATATTTTTATATTATTTATATTTTCTTAATTGTTATAAAATATTTTTAAGATTTTTTTGTCAACTAAAAATACATACTAAGTGAAATCTAAAACAAATCAAAATATCTTATATTAAGCACCAAAAGGAATACTATACAGACTGAACCACCTAATTGTTAAACATCATCAATTAATTAATGTAGGAATCCTGATGTAACTCTTGACTTTAATATATTATAAATCTTTTCTTCAAAAAAAAATTTAATGTAGGAATGAGTTTTTTTTTTTTTGGAAATTCTTGTAGGAATGAGTTTAATCTCTAACAAACTGAGTAAAGTTCAATAGTGTAGACTATATCTCTTTTCTTTTCTTCCTTTTTTTTTTTGGACAAATACTATATGGAATGACTGATTAATTTAAAGAAGACAATTTATTTACATGGAAGTGACATAATTATGCCAAATTACAAAAAATCGGCTGACAATAAAAATTGTAGAAGGAAATCAATAAAATTTCTGCAGGGATAGAATGGTAACTGCGCATTGTAATTTGCAGTGCCGGTTAAGTTCAACTGTTCAACTCAACGTTACTGGGAAAAGTTGGAGTTTTGACGAGGAGAGGAGAGGAAGTTGATGGCGCCGGAGATCAGCTGGCGCGGGCTCACAGCAACTCTCGTAGTCTTACTGCTGATCCAGCCGTCGATCTCCATTTACTGCGACGACGATGATTGCTATGATCTCCTCGGGTAAGAAATCTCAGAGCCATTCCCTCCATTTGCTTTCCCCCTTTCCAAGAACTAGTTCCATTTTGCCCTAATAATTTCTTTTCCTTTTTGCTGGTTTAAATTGGGTGATTTTTCTAGGGTTTCTCAATATGCTAATTCTTCCGAGATTAAGAAAGCCTACTACAAGCTCTCACTTAAGCAGTAAGTTTTTAATTATTTATAATTTATTTTCCTTACTGATTTTAGGATTTATGTTTGCTGTTTGATTTATCATTCGATTAACTAATAAACTTTTTGTTTTTCCCTTTAATTTTAAGTCACCCGGATAAAAATCCTGATCCGGAATCAAAGAAGCTGTTTGTGAAAATTGCGAATGCTTATGAGGTAATTATTTTTTTGGTTTAAGTTTGTTTCTTGGAGATTGGATGAGTTTATTATGTGTAGAGTCTTTTGGGAATGTTAGGCTGCGTACAACTTGCATCCTTAAGATACAGTTTAGGCTGTGCTCTAAAATTTTCCTCACCGTGTACTTGTAATGTAGTTAGGTCGGAAATTGTAGTCCTAATCTTGAACCTTGCAATCCGAGAAAAGGAGAAAAAAACATTTTACATTTCTGAATGGAAATGTATACGGCTTCAAAAAGCAGCCTAATTTTGCAAGTGTGTTGGTCGAATTTGATAGTGTTTTTGTTTGTTTATGTTCAAAATGAGATTTTGGACTTGAGGAAAACCCAAAAGTAATTAAAGAGGGCTCTGGATCATGTTGTTAATTGATCCGAAAATGGGTACTCGTTTAAGATTGGGTTCTGAGCTAAATAGTTTCTTTTTGAGTATGAGGGTCACCTTCGGAGTTGTTTAAATTGACTCTTGTTTACATGCAGATTTTGAAAGATGAATCTACAAGGGCACAATATGATTATGCAATTGCTCACCCAGAGGAGGTTGGTTATTCAACACTCATTTTGTTAGACATTTCTGTGTTTGTATCGCTGATATAATGGGTATTAACATGGCTTTTAACTTCATTTTGATTAAATTTCTTGTGATTTGTTTAACAAAGAACTGGGAGCTGATGAACTGATAGAAGATTTTTTTCTTCTGTTGTTACTTTTGAATTTGTGTATTGTCATTTGATCTCATTTGCATAACAACTGAGTTGGATCCGATCGTTAGTCTCTTTTCCATACTTTCCAGTGATGTAAGATAAAGGAGAAAGGAAGAGGCTGGATTGGTTAATCTCTTATAAACCTGACATAGCAATGATCACTCTTGTCTTTAATACGTAATGGTTTTGGTTCCCTTCTAACATTGAGCACTGTATAATATATATATATATATATATATATATATATATATAGTGTGTGTGTTTTCTCTCGTCTTCAGGCATTCCCTTGTTTTTATTTTTAACTTCATCCTAGCATATTCTTAACAACCTCGACACTTCTTATGTCTTCACTAGGTATTCTACAACACAGCAAGGTACTACCAGGCTTATTATGGTCACAAAACAGTAAGAACTTCAATCTCTGCAGCCTGGAGGACTTGGATCTTTTTAAACAGATGCAAAGCCTCTATTTGTATTTGAACTCCCTTTCTGGTGGTTGATGACTTTAAAGGAAAACTTGTCCGTTTGGTGAACATGTTGTATTTAAATTTCCTTTCTGGTGGTTGATGACTTGAAAGGAAAACTTTTACTTCTGGTGAAAATGTTTATTATTCATCTTTTTTTCTATGCTAGGATCCTCGTGCAGTTCTTGTGGGTCTTCTGTTGGTGCTTTCTGCATTTCAATATATGAATCAGTTGACGAGGTATAAGCAGGTAACTCAACTCATGGTCATATCCTCTGTATATCTCCTGCTATTGAGCTTAGTACAAGCTGTAGAAATTCTAAGCTTCAAGAATTTACATCTTTCTCATGGTTACTTGCACTTTATACTTATAGATTGGTTAGTAACTTCTGCTATATACTGAAATCAACTGTTACTTAATTGGCATGACCGGTTTCCCTAAAAATAGCTACCTCTATTCTGCATAATGAATAGAATGATAATAGAAGTTTGATGTCAGATGTTTGATCATTTGTTGGAAGGTATTTGGCATGCGTTTCCCTGGATCAATGCATGTTAGGTATCTCTAATTTTTTATATGTTAGTTCACATGATAATCGCACTCTAGAATTGACTATCAGGCACCGACAAAAGGAGTAGATCCTGGTCTAACCACTGACTATTGTGTGTCCTTGTTATTAATCCTCCTATTTTTGTTAAATACTTCCCTTGATTGTTTCCCTTTTCAGGCTCTTGATATGGTCAAGAGGACACCAGCGTATAAAAACAAGCTGAAGGCACTGGAACTTGAGCGCACTGGGGGAGCAACAAATAGAAAGAAGAGCAATAAGCAAATGAACAAGTATGAACTTCAGTTTTGGTTACTCCATCCATTCCATAGTCCTCCAGTCTCCAGCTGTGGTTTTTTGTTTCTGCCACTTGGTGAGGGACAGAGGGGGTTGTTGGAGAATAGGAATGGGAATAAACAGGCTGGGTTTGTGGGAGGAAAGAGAAAACAGAAGTTGCCATTGTCTACTTCTAGCATGATTTGAAATTTTCTGTCCTGTACATGTGGATGCAGTTGTATAATTTATTCTCTTTTGCAACAGGAAGATGGAAGAAGACCTCAGCAATGAGCTTGAACTGCAAATTAAGGGGGCCGAAAAGCCATCCGTCTGGGGACTTGTTGGGGTTCGTTTCATTCTTCTTCCATATGCAGCTGGTAAGGTAAGTGCAGTTGGAAACTGTTTCTGATTAAATATTTTGAAAGCAGTGGTCACTGATAGATGCGATCATGTCTTAGTTAAAATTATTCTGGAAACAGAAGAACCATGAAGGCTTAAGAAACAGCCAAAATCCCATTTTCAAAGCAGGCAACTGCTGACATTGTCTTCATCCACAGATGTTATTGTGGTGTGTCCGTTGGTTATGGAGATACAAGGTCAAGCGAGCTCCATATTCATGGGAAGATGCCTCCTACTTGACACGAAGATCCTTGGGTGTGCCACATGATTCGTGGAACTATATTGGTTAGTACAATAACTTCTACAGAATTCATTGATGAAACTGGTTGGTTGTTGGTTGTTATTTGTTGATTGAGGAGCAGCATGCCTCCCTAGAGGCTTCTAACTAGAAATACTTCTTCAACTTAGAATGTTTTGAGTTGGGGAAATCGTCATTGTCTTGTTGATTGGTGTCTGGTTCAATGTGTTATTTTTGTTTTGTTTTTGGTTCCTGTTTTTTGACAGTTCATCACTCTTCTAACATAGAGTATTTTCAAATTTGTTGGCATCCCTTCTATCGATTAAATAGCCAAATAAGGAACGGGAGTACAAATTATAGCTTCACGTTTCGCTTTGATTCGGCAGCAGTCACTAAGTAGATGGGGCTCTCTTTTTCATTTATTCAAATGAGATTATGATTTATGCAGTTACAGAATTTATCAAGTAGTGTTTTCACATTTATGTCTTTAATTATCTTTAGTTAAAATACATTAAGAAGAAGTCGTGACAGTCAAATTTCATACATTGGAAGAATGTATGTGCACTTTTTTCAGGTAGTTTTCCTCTTTTCGAAGTGGTGCTTTAATGAATCTCTTGGGTGTGTTCTGCAGACGAATCAACAAAGGAAGATCTCATTGGGAGACGGCTATGGGAGAAATCCAACTTGCAGAGCTACATGGCGGAGATGCGGAAAGAGTCGAAGCGAAGAAGATGACGAATCTCAAACATGGAGAGCAAATTTTGATGCTGGAATACTGACTACCTCGCGCACAGCAATTTCTCCGATTACAATTCAACCGGACAATGTTCGACACTCGGTAATATTTCATACGTCATTGACCCCACGTAGAAGCCACGTATAGAGTGAATACATACTGGGGAACGGGATAGGTCTGTTTTAAAAGAAAAACGCTGAGGAAGTTGCTTAGAAGTTTTAGAAATAGGTAGAGGGTTTTCGGCTATTTTAAGCATTGTAATCCTATTTGCTTCGCGTTGAGAATTTTCAAGGCGCATTTCAATCAATTCCATTAGCAACTCTGTAGTGAGGATATGTGATATATCTTGCATAGAGATTTCATCAAACTCAGTGACTGATTGATGATATCCTGCAAATCAGAAATCTGAGGCTCAGCACAGCTGGATTAAAAAACAACCTCGCAGCATACTTCTTTCCCAAATGAGCAAGTTTCTGAATAGTTGAATCATATTATCTGAATTAACTTCATTAGGTACAAGGACAATCCTTATCCATCAGACATACAAACAACAGCAATCAATTGAAACTAAATAAATGGATATTATTATTATTAATTTACAAAAGATGAAGTATCATTGTACAACTGTAGTAATTAGAGAATAGGACAAAACAAGAATCCCCGGACCATCAGATGACCTATGAAGAAAGGAGTGTATTAAACTTTCCAATTGTTGTCGCAATTGTGGCAATGCACTAAGATAGTCATCGGCTCGTCGGCGCTTCGGGTCTGCATCTGACTATAAGTTGTTGCAGAAAACTCGCATCTGCGGCACTGCAGCTCCGGATTCCCTTCCCCCTTTAGCTCCGGTGGCGGACGTATTTCGCGATTGAACTTCGGCAATCCCCTGATTTGCTCGTCCTCCAACTTTCTTGCCTGGCTTGCCATGTCTTTTGGTGTCAATTCACTGATAGATTCAGGGGTGAACTCCCCTAGAAGAACTTTCTTGCGGAAATCAGGGTTCTTATTATCTTTCAAATTGAACATCACCGACCGATACTTGGCTTTGTTGGCTCTGCCACAGGATCCCCAGGCTTTGAACAGTTCAGTTTCCACCATGGCAGCAACATACAATGGATCACAAGATAAGACCTTTCCTGCTTCCTCCCCTTTTTCATCAATTTCAGTTGCCACCTTACTCAATGATTTTGCTAGGTCTTCCCGAATCTGGTCCCTGATTTTGTCATTGGTTCTGTCCCCTTGAATTTCTGCTACAACATTTTCCCCCAAGACACGATTCCCCTGTTTCCCATGTCCGAACAAATTTTTCGCTGAAGTTTTTGTCACTAGTTTCTTTCCAGTAATCTTCCCCTGTTTCTGAGAACCGGAACTTTTTTCCTCCGGAATGATTGCTGCAACTTTATTTCCATTAACATGTTCCGGTTTCAAAGAACCAAAATTTGCAGCTGGGCCTTTTACGACGTCCCTGAGTATACTTTGAACATCATCTGATTTTCCAAGATCATCCCTTTGTTCTCCGAAACTGGGCTCTGTTTTCTGATCTTTTCCCGCGACCTTGATAATACTATCATCCACATCGTCGTCGTCAAAATCCCCAAAAATTTGCTGATGAACTTGACGTCTCCAGGCCTCCACCACCATCGCATCGGAAGAAGACGGCGACGTCATCTTGAGTTTCTTCACCGGACGGTTTTCGCTCGGTGGTTGTAATTGTTGGATACGCTTTCCACCGATATGGGTCTTTGAGATATTAAGGACATGATCTCCATTAGTATGGAGCTGTTTGAGTCGGTTCAAACGATGCTCTTTCGCCATCACAAGATCCACAGCTTTCTCGGCGTTCTGAATCATAGCCATTGCCAAAAACACTTTATTCTATCTCTCTTTCTCTCTGCTTTTTGCGTTTCCTAATTCCAGCAATCAGAAGTTCTTCCCTGAATCCTAATAACTCAATTAGGTGATTGGTTCCTTGATATGGAGCAGTAGACAAAGTTGAGCCGGTGAGTTCAATTCCTATTTGCATAAGGGAATCCAAAACTTTGGAGGATTTGGCAGGTTTCCTAATACAACTAAGGATTAGTACTGTTTCCCAGTATCAAAAGGAAACGCGGGAGCAGGAAAAGTTAGAAATTGAAAAATAGCAATATATATTGCGAAAATTCAAAATGTGCTTACTCGCTTATTAGTCCTCAAAAAATTAGCACTCCTATAAAATTATTCTTCTTTTTCTAAAATTCATGATTAGAAGACAAACTACTCATTTTGTTTAATTTTTCTAAAGAACTATTCACCTCAATAGATCAAAGTCATCTAATTTATGAAGTTTAGTTTATCAAATTAGACCATTTTTTCAGGATGGAAGGACTACATTTCATATATTATATAAAAACAAACTATCATTAAACCTTAGTTAAAAGTAATTACAAATAAATGTACTCAAATCTATTGTTAAAATTTTGAATCGACATATATAAATATTATTAGATTGAATCAGAGGTAATTAAAATCAAACTCGTTTGAATTGTGTTTTAAAAATGTTTCGTTCTTTTTATAATTTTTAAAACATATTTTGAGATAAGTGTTCATAGAGAGATATTTAACTTCGAATTCTTTGTCTCACTTTTAACAAAATTATTCCATGAAATTTTATATATCTACCCGATGCGAAGGATTTCCTCGATTCACTTATCTTGATTTTGCAACGTAAGAATAAGATCACATAGAGCTAATAATGTTATTTTATAATGACAAAATTCTTGTAACTTTGATCAAACGAACTCGCAAACAATATTCGCTAATACATTGTGTATAAGTGCTAAATAAAGAGTTAGTATAACATTTTCGTTTCAGCTAATACGATATAATTTTATTTGATAATAGAAAGTTGGTTTACAAAAGAAGTGAGAAATGGACTATAATAATTTAATTGATATTGTTTCTAATGAGTTTTGAAATATGATCTTTCACTGTACAACTGAAAATAATATCCATAATGACAAACTAAATGTTTGGTCCAGGCAGATGCCCGGACGCCCCTTCTAAATTACTATTTTATTAAAATCTAATTGAATTACTATTTTTTGAGGAATTAATTTGGCGTATATATCATTTATGCTATGGTTTGGGGCTTAAAAAAATATACCTATAAATCTGAGGTTATAAGGGAATAATAAATAATTAGTTTATAAGGCATTATTCTTAATTACTGGATTTAGGTTTTTTTATTTTTTGTTTATATTAAGCCTGCAAAACTGCACGATTGGACATCTGAATTTGATTTAATATATCCATTCGTTTGAAATTTAATTGATTCTTATTTGTAGAATTTTTTCATTGGATAAGTGTCACATTTAAAACATGTGTTTTTTTTAAAAAAAAGAATTATATAGCTTCTAATTAAAAGATATTTACACGTGGCAAAAATACTTCTGAAATCTGAAATATGGTGCATTGGAGCCAAAATAGATGTATACGTAGTTGCCACATAAGCTTCATGTCTTCTGCTTTAATAGGGTAAAAGGGATATCTAATGAAAAATACAACAACTGATCAAAGTGCATCTACTTTTTTTTTAGTTCAATTAATATTTTGACCCCCTATATCCGTACTTTTATGTAGAAATTTTATTTTTTCCTCAAAAATTATATTTTTACCCGTAATCATTTAATACACATCAATCATTATAAATTTTCACTATATTATTTTTATTGCCTCTATCGATATTCCTTGATTAATATTAAACTTTTCAATTGTTCCCCCAACATAAAAAGAAAAAGAAAAAGAAACTGATGTTAGTCGATCACGTCACCTAGCGGCTCATCATTAACAATATAGAACTTCACTGTTACTATCGGTAAACACCGTTATGTTGATTTTTATTTTTTATTTTATTTAACAACAATGTGAGACTTCACGTAATTGTGCTGGTTGATGTATTTATATTTTGGACAAACAATCTAGTCTAGCCTAGTTTGATACATCTAAGTTTGGCAAATGGATAAAGCTGGGTCCTTGACTATTTGTAACTATTGGAAGAAACCAAGCCCAACTCAAAATCAAAATCGGAAACTGAAACTACTATTTTCCAGTCATTTTTTTTCCCTTTATGTGTAGTTTCATTTGCTTGATCTCCTCTACTAGCTGTTGTTGTTCTTGTTTCCTATCTGTACACTTTGCTATCCCCTCCAAAGTATAATATCGCCAATTGAATTATTAGAAAGTACAACTTCCTAACTAATTTGTGTTCGTTCCTTAATTAACTCGTCGATTAGTCTATTAAACTATTAAAATCCCCTTTCAATAAAAATAACTGAAAGACGTTTGAGGTATAACCATATTTAGGTTTATATTTGGGCCCTCCAAGATAAAAAAATAAATAAAAATAAATGGATAGAGCGATAATTCTCCCAACGCAATAAAATATTTTACAGTTTCAGGACCGTTAAAGCTAGCTATAAATAACTAATTTTAATTTATAGTGTAAATTAAAGAAAGTAGTTGAAATTAGTTTTTTTTTTTTTTTGGGGTAAACTAGCTACATTATCCATGCAAAAAAATAAAAAAATTGGGTGAAAGTTAGAAGTACACTGTAAATGAAATTTTAAATACATCAAATGCCTGATAAATAAGACTAAGGAAAACCTTGAGAGATGCTTGATAATAAGTACCGGAAGGAGTATTAATTTTCTGGACAGAGACTTTTCTATTAAGGGCAGTGATAATTGATAATGACCGATCCTTTTTAACCTCCAGACAACTCATTATTTCTCCGGTAACTCCTTTTCTTTAGAACTCCTTGAAGAGGGAGAAGTTCTATAAAGTTTTTTTTTTTTTTTGTTCATTTCTCTTTCCGGTTAATTGTATGTATATGTATAGAGCATGTACTGAGCAACGGAGGTTTGTTTACACAAAAACGCGAACAAAAAAGCTTTTCTTTTTGGGTCATCAATCTCATTGTTGTATGTATCCTTCAATACTCAGTAAAGCCTGCTGCTCCTTCAAGCGTATTCCCGCTCTCAAACCTCATTATTAGCCGCCTAAAATACACTACATTCACCTCTGTGTAGTTTATCTGTTCAGATTTCAGAACTACTACTTATTTAGGGTTAAGGTTGACCAGTTGGAAGAAGTCAAATAAGAAGAGTGCCGTTTCTGGTGATTTTGAGCAATTAATCTCTGGAGGACTAACGTATGATAAAATCCATCCGCTTCTGCTTTCCTCATTTGCAGAAATCGGGCTCCCTCTAATGAGAGAGTAGAAGAAATCTGTCAGTACACTAATATGAGCTCCCTTTCTTCCCCCTCTTTTTTTTCCGAAATGAAAGGAATAAAAAAGAAAAGCTTGAGGAATAGTGAAGCTAAAATTTTCGCATTTCAGATGGTGAGAAGGTGGATTAATCAATCAAGAATTTTATGAATAAGCAAATGGCCCCTAGGGTTTCTGATTTTGTTTGTGAAGGTGGGAGAAATAGTGATGGAGTTTGGCAGCTGACACTATGCAAATGTATGTGCGGTGGTGGTGGTGGTGGAATTGGCCGGAAAAAAAAAAAAGAAAAAGAAAAACTTTCCATCCCATCTCACACACTCAACTTTTTGGAGTAGAAAGTTTTTGTAATGGACAAATTATTACGGTAGTTTCATTCACTAAATTCTAAAACTGTCATAAAATGATCACTATTTAATATCACTCGTAAGGGTGCTCATAGAAATTTACTCTCAAATGCTTAATGGCATAAATTTAAAAATTGGTCCCGTAGCATCAATTGCAATTGTGTTGAATTGATGAATGCTTGATAGTATTCCTTGTCTCAAAATCAATGTGACAATGATTTCTGGACAAAACAAGTATAAAGTAAACCTTAAATAGTGGTTCGGTGACTAATGGTTATGGATGAAATTAGCATATTTGCTAGTCATTAAAAAAGCTGAATTATGATATTCTCTTTGCCTCAAAATAATAAGAACATCAACACTATTCAACACACATAAAATAGAGGTGACATGAATTGAATAAAGGCTATCAAAAGAAAACTCATTGCGGAGATTTAAATCTCCCATTTCAGGGATAGCCCAACTTTTAAAGTTCCTGCAGCTAAGTTCTTTTGTTCATTTTTGTTAGAGTGAACTTTGAGTTGCCATTATCATTTGCGTTTGACTTGTATATAGAGAGATACCCTTTTCTGGAGCTTCTTTCAATCCCTTTCAAGTTGCCCATTTTGCCCCATCATCGTCTTCATCATCTTCCATAAGAAAAGAAAATGCGGATTTTCCAAACCATTCGGCGGGCGAAACACAGAAGAGCTTTCAAAACAGTAAACATTATTCTCATGACCCCCACTGTAAAAACTACCGTGGTGATGACACATAAGCTTCCATTTACCCAAAGTGTGAAATTTTTAGGGTTCAAATTTTGCCGCACATCTGTTTGCCACATATTTTTGTCGGTTCATAAATGTATACTGTTCTTTGCACTGCAGATATCTTTCCCTTGATTCTTTTTTTTTTTTTTTTTTTTGCTGCTTTTCAAAACTTCATAGAAGAGGTTTTCTAATTTTATTCGTATGTCGTACTTACTATACTATTTGGTGGTTTTGTCCATTTCTCCAGTTCAGATTAGCATATCTCTCAGAAACCAACAAAAGATCTCGCCAAAGAGGCACCAAATCCATCACACGTCTCTTCTCATCATTATTGTTATGAAATCTAGTAAATTTCCCTGCTACTAACTCCATTATATTGCGACCCCCACCCAACAAAATAAATGCCAAACTCTATTATCACTCCCACGGAATGAAAACAGAACTGAAAAGTAGAGAAATCATTACGCTAAAAAAAAATGAAGAAAAGCCTATGTACAC